CAAAAAATCATCTTGAACTAAAAACGCACATTCACACCAATGAAGGTAGCCTCATTTTAAAAGTACAATCGAACACAAGGAACCCAGTAGCTATTTACGCAGGAACCACAATGGCATTTTTGGCAGAAACTGCATCAGAGACAAATCTTTCACACAATTTCATGTTGCAAGCAGGAAAAGATGAAGAGAGCGAAGAAATAACAATGGAAGATCATAAGTTAGACAGCATCACAAACGAAAAGAACAGGCATGAACTCAAAGAACTCCTTCTGGAATACAACGACGTTTTCGCGAAATCCACTAAACATATGGGTAAGACAAACTTAACAGAACACATAATAGACGTCGGAGAGGCTCGCCCAATAAAGAGCCGCCCATACAGAGTGTCACAAAAAGAAAGACAGATTATTGACGAACAAATCCAGGAAATGCTCGATAGCAAAGTAATTCGGCCTTGCCACTCTCCATGGGCTAGCCCTGTAGTGCTAGTTAAGAAAAAAGATGGAAAAACAAGATTTTGTGTAGATTACAGAAAGGTGAACACAGTAACAAAAAAAATCAACATACCCACTACCACAGATCGATGACATTTTGTCATACTTGGGAAATGCAAAATGGTTTAGCACACTCGATATGTTTTCCGGATATTGACAAGTTCCAGTCGAAGAGAAGTCCAAGCAATATACTGCCTTCGTGGCGCAAGGACATATGGGACTTACGAATTTAATGTTTTAAGTTTTGGATTATGCAACGCTCCAGCCACTTTCCAAGAACTAGCAGACCAAGTTTTTTGGGATATGAAATGGAAGGAAGTGCTAATCTACCTAGACGACATCATTATATTCTCACAAACATTCGAAGAACACTTGAGCAAACTAAAGAAAGTTTTTGAGCGACTGCGACAAGCTAACCTTACTCTAAAACCAAGCAAATGCGAATATTTGAAAAAAGAAATCAAAATACTAGGATTCAAAGTAAAGGAGCAAGGCATATTACCAGATGAAGAAAAAATAATTTGCATAAAAGGGTTCCCGACGCCAAAGAAAATTAAAGATGTACAGAGCTTTCTAGGATTATGTAATTTTTATAGAAAATTTATACATAACTTTGCATCAATAGCAAGACCGCTACATGAAGTTACAAGAAAGAACATAGGGTTCAAATGGGGTTCCGAACAAAATAAAGCATTTGACATCATTAAAGAAAAACTGGTTTCCGCACCTGTGCTACAGCATTTCAATCCAAATAAAGATACCATTTTGCACACCGACGCAGCAACATGTGGAATTGGGGCAGTACTTTTACAAGAAGACGACAAGGGAGAAGCACATCCAATAGCCTACATAAGCAGAAGTCTTTCAAATAGCGAGAAGAATTATTCAATTAGTGAATTAGAACTCTTAGGCCTAGTGTGGGCATTGAGCTATCTGAGACACTTAATTTACGGCAGACCAGTAAAAATTGTCACTGACCATCATGCTCTTTGCTGGATGGACTCCATTAAGGAAAGTAACAGACGCTTGGCCAGGTGGGCACTAAAACTTGCAGAATTTGATTACACGGTTGTATATAAAAAAGGATCAACACATAGCGACGCCGACTGTATGTCCCGCAATCCAGTGCTTCAACCAGAATTCGAAGAAAAAGAAGAACAAGAGGAGCTCCCCACATTCACACTAAAATCAATGCAAACGGCTACATTACAGGAGAAAGACCCAAGTCTAAAACAAATATTCAAAGCTATAAGAAACCCAGACGACCCAGAAATTAATATTGGCATCAGAAGAAGAGCAAAAAATTTTAGGATTGAGAAAGACTTACTCTATAAAATTAATAAGACAAAAAACGGCTTAGAAAAAGTATTAGTAGTACCAAAATCAATGAGAGAAGAAATTTTGTGGGAGCTACATGCATCACCGACAAGTGGACACTTGGGACTGAGCAAAACAACGGACAAAATTAAAAACAGATTTTTTTGGGATGGAATGCTCAAGGACATCGAAAAGTACGTTAAGGGATGCCCAGATTGTCAAGCTAGAAAGGGGCAACCTTACAGAAAAACGCCAGGGATGTTACAACCAATACCGGTGGGAACAATTTTCGACAAAATCGGAATTGATCTTTTAGGCCCATTTAGAAGAAGCAGTAAAGGGAAAACAATGATAGTTGTAGTTACCGATTACGCCTCACGATATGCCATCACAGCCGCCCTACCGAATGGAAAAGCCGGACCAGTTGCAAATTTTTTACTAGAAAAAGTATTCTTAATACACGGGATGCCAAGAAATCTGCTCAGCGACAGAGGAAAAGTTTTTCAATTGGAATTAGTAAGGGAATTAGGAAAATTAATGGGAGTAAGAAGCCAATTTACAACCGCATACCATCCTTGTTGTAATGGTCTCACTGAAAGGCTAAATAAGACAATAGCTGACATGTTATCCATGTATTGTAACACACAGCAAACAGACTGGTGTAGCTATCTACCATTTATAACATTTGCGTATAATACAGCAATACAGGACACAACGACATTTAGCCCATTTATGTTAACATATGCAAAGGAACCCACACTACCAGCAGAAGCTGCATTGTTGGACGCTGACAACGAAACGGACGCTCTGCAAATTAGAGAAAAGGCACTTTTAATAAGAGCCATAGCAGTGGAAAATATACAGAAAAGACAAGGGAAAGATAAAGGGCGTTTTGATGAAAGACATAGAGAATTGGACTTTGAAGCTGGAGACAAAGTTAAAGTGTTTATCCCAATCAGAAAGGTTGGAAGAAGTGAAAAGTTACTCTTAAGATGGTTTGGACCATACAAAGTCATTAGAAAAATGGGAGAAGTGAATTACGAGGTACAAAAGATTGGAAGCAGAAAAATGGATACGGTCCACGTGAGTAGGATGTTGCCCTACTACGATCCATGGACGGAAGCTGCGCCTATTGAAGAAAGGGCAGATGAGACAGATATAGCTGAAAACGCAGAATCTGAAGTTGATGAGGATGAAGAAGACGAAGAAAAAATTGAAGAAGAAATTGGAAGCAGTGAAGCAGAAAACGAGGAAGAAGAAGACTGATTATACAGATAAAACATAAGATGAAGTAGGGAAATGGGAAGTAGAGATAGGATGGAAATAGAGTAAGAGATTAAATAGAGTAAACAAGGAGGGATGGAGAGGAATGACAGCTCAATATAAGAGGAAACTAGTGTTGACCTCATAATATAGAGAAGATAGAGAATATGAATTACTATGAAAGAAGAAGAATCAGAAACATTCTTATCGACGGAAGAAGCCGCCGAAGGGATTTTAGAAAAGTACGAGCTGCAAAAAGAAGGCATATGGGTATACAAAAAATAAGTTGGACTAAACTTACCTGTTGGAGCCATGATCAACAAATAACCAAATTATGAAATTTGGTGGCCCGATTGTGGTCATAATTAAAATATGTAATTATAAGAATAAGCACATTTTTAAAAATATTATTTTATTTTTTCCATGTATATACAAAACTACCAACCAGGGACGGACTACAAAACAAATTCGAGGGAAGGCATTGTAATAGAAGGACCTAGCTCTGGACTGAGCAGGGGCTAGGAACTTCAAACCATAAGAAACAAATGGGTATGGACCGATGAACAAGAAAGAAGCATAACAAACCAGGAAACGACACTTAGACCGTGGGACCGTTAACACCCCACGATCTAGCTGACCCATCAAGAAATATTTGGAATCAGAACAGACCCACAATACAGAAAACAGGACCGAACCAAAAGAAAAAACCCATGGCTGAAGCGGTGAAGTTGATGAAATTTCTTAGTTGTAAGCTATTTTTTTTTTGTAGTAACCTGAATAATAATGCACCCTCACCCATCCCACCATAAAAAACTTTTGTTAATTTTTAATTTTTTTTCTCTATACGCGATATTTGGATTATATAATTGTAAGCATCAGGGGTATTTTATAATTAAGCTATTATTGTAAAGAAGGGATATTTTTAGGATAAGGATATTATTGTATTTTTTTGACATTATTATGGTATTTGTATATATTTTGTTGTAAGTGTCTCTTCCAAGCATTGGGGTCCAATGCTTCATGGAGGGGGGGCATATGTCAACTAGCTGCTTAGGAAAGGAGGACCCGGTATTCAACCTTATTAATTTAATTGCCGATTCGATCGAATGTTTATTGCAATTCAGCAATAAATTAATATAAATTGCGCTGCAAGCCGCAGCAAAGGCAGACTTAAACCAGTGCAAGTACCTCTCGTTGGAAAAGCCCCTCTGGAATTAAGTCTCCCCAGTGCAAGTACCTCTCGTTGGGAACGCCCCTCTGGGTATCTTCAGCCTTATCGTTGTCCAGTGCAATTACCTCTCGTTGGGAACGCCCCTCTGGACAAGGCATAAGGGTGACGATAAACTAACCTACAGTCCCCCAAGCAGCATTGACGTGTGGCCCCCTATAAGGACCCCAGTGTACGAAGGGTCATGTATCTTATAGGGTTAGCGTACATGTAAGGTTATATTTGGGAAAATATATATCTATATTTTTATATAACCTGAGCGAGTTTCTCTCCATCAACCCCCAAAGCTACAAACCCCCCATGTCACCCCCGTAAAGCGGGCAGTTGTGACAATATTTTTTCTAAGTACGCCACTGGATTGTAAGTAAAAAAAGACGTATTTTTCCTTTTTGCACTTTTTCTATATCTCCGTCGGGTAAGAAGTTATAGAGGCTTATAAAAAACAGCTGATTTTGAAAAACACCCTGTACCTCGCAAACCAATATTGTCGGTCAAGATCTGACTACACCATCAAATGACACACTAAAAAAGAGGACGGGAAGCGTATATCAGTTTCTCAGTATCTTCGGCCATTTTGGCTGTACCCTATCAAACTATCGAAAATCAACCACCTTGTACATACATATACTCTAATTTAAAAGTTTCTAATTTCATTAAGTATTTTTCGATATCGAGAACATAAGACAATTTGATTTTAGATTCAAGGCTGGAGATGCAGAGCGGACGTCCGAAAACTTGTAAGGCCACAAGGATTCCGTTGTTTCATGGAATTTTCCAACAAGTCGGCTCTGGTCAGCGCAGACGACCTCTTCAACGTAACGAACAGCTGGGTTCCAGAAACAGGCCAATATGCTTGCAAACTCATAAACTCAAACTTCAACAGCTCAAACACTTGCGTTTTAGAGACAAACCTGACATTATGGGCTGTGTCTGAGGATGGTGAAGTATCGTCAGAGAAGCAGACCATTCCATTTTTGCCTGGAATTTGTGTGGAGCCTGTTTTACTGCTGCAAGAATCCATCAATACTGGCGTGTTGATTATCAGAGGGTTACCAGATGTGCTTAGTCAACTGTCGGTGAGTTTATTGAATATCTGTTTGTTCACCTAGACATTTCTGTTCTTTGTTGGACATTTCTCTGTTTTAAGTGGTTGCAACCGAATTTTGATTTTATAATAAATAAGCAATTATTCAGCAACTTCCATGTTTTTAGTGAGCGTGAAGAGTAAGGAGGCTTGAGTTTGAAAATTTAACTTAAATTTGATTATATCTTGCAACATAATTGATAATTATAATTGGTTTTTGACAGGTCATGCCAGCAGATAGTACTATTTTATTCGTGAGCAGTTTAACATCAGAAGACCTATATTTCAAAAAATATCAGGTGCAATTGATAGACTATCATTGGAGGTTAGCTGATATGGATGATGCCATGGGAATAAATATTGTGTCTCCTTTGACAAAGCAAAATATAAGAGTAAGATAACTGATTATATTATGTACTTATTATTTTGAAACTGATTTTCTTTTTCCTTGAAGGTTATGGTGAAAGTAACTGGTGATTACAAAGGTGTTCCACAGTGTGGCCTAATTCGATCGCCGATAATGAGTTTCATACAGAATTATAGATACGCTTTGGTAACCTCCATAGCTATGGTTGCTATATTCCTTTTGACATTCTACTGTAAGTATTAATTTATTATGTACATAATAGAAGTAAGAGTGGTTGAACTTGCAAGAAAAGACTTAAACTTTTTCGTATCTGCTATACTTACTGAGATCACATCGAAAAAAAAATCACCCCATCGAACCCTTAACATAGGAACAATAGGAGTCGTCACTGACAAGCTGTTTTACATAAAAGGACTTGGAAGGACCTCTATCGTCACTAGGACACTTTTTCACGCTTGAGCTTCAGACCGTATTTTCATGATATTTTCACTCCAAAGAAATTTTAAGTAATTTATTCGTCTAATAAATATTCTCTTCTTGTCTTGTTGCACCCATAGGCAATTTCTAACAATAATAGATCGTTTTGGCTGAATGTTAAGGAGGATTTTAATCTTATGTATACTTTGTTTTTATTTTCATTTTTTTTTTCTAGTTTACTCAACCTACATGCAAGTGAATATCAATGTAAGGCCTCAACAACCAGGAAGAATGGCAGTTACTACTACAATGCAAACTGCTAGTCGAGCCTCACCCACAGCACATCACTGCGCAGCAAATGCTTCGTCCAGTCCTTTTGTGCGCACACCCAGCACACCACAAGGACAAACTCCTCCTTGCAAATTTAATTGTTCCTGCGGGAGACACAGTAACAGACAACCAGTTTTTGGGGATGTCAGCTCGTTTTATACCAACAGTCCTGAAATGAGACGCAATAGAAGATATATGTAAAAACATTGTAAACCGTTTCAGAACTTGGCTCTGATGATACAGTTGGAGAACAAACAAAAAAGTGTTGAATAGATACAAAATTTGACGTTTTCATTAGCTTTTTGAAAAAAAAATATAGACCTACTATTAAATTTTCTGCCAATTGAACTGCATTAATCTGGAATGGTTTATCACTGTATAACTTTAACTGCCATAAGACTGTCATTAAAGGTTGTAAAAAGAACATGTAAATAATGTTTTGTCCTGTATGTGTGTGTTTTCTCAGGGAGTATACTGAATGTAGATTTACTTTCTACCTGAAATAAATTTTTTTCTACTAAAAATATATCTTTTTGTAAAATCCTCATTGAGCAATGATTTCAGATGAAGTTTGGCTGTTGGTTGTTTCTCCGCACGCTCGTAGGTTGGGACAGAAAATGTGTCAGAGTATACATATCCTTTTTTGTCTACACCTTTTCCAATTGTAATTCAGAAACCGTCACTTGTAATTGAGAATAGTCAAATGTAATTGAGAAAGCGTTACATGTAATTGAGAATAGTTAAATGTTATTCAGAATTCGTTAACTGTAATTGAGAATAGTCAAATGTTATTGAGAAACCGTCAAATGTTATTGAGAAAACGTTAAATGTAATTCAGAAAGCATCAAATGAGATTCAGAATAGGTCAAATGAAATTGAGATAATGAAAATGCGAAAATTTCATATACATACAAGGTGACACAAATTCTTGAGAATTTGTGGGAATATCGGAAACCGTAAAACATTTTGGTTGAATAATAATTAATAATATCAGAACCTTTATTATTGAAATGAAAGTTACATAAAATTTTAATTAAAAAACAAACAGTTCTCAAAACTATCGTCCGAGGGGTAGGTCACTCGATAAAATTTTTACACCTAATTACAAATACATTCAATTACATCTATTTTTTTGTAATTGAATGTATTTGTATGTAATTGTTTGTAATTGAACATAATCAAATGTAATTGAATATAATTGACTGTAATTCGATATAATTGACTGTAATTTAATATAATTTATTGTAATTGAACCTAATTGAAGGTAATTGGATATAATTGAATGTAATTGAACGTAATTGGGAGGTAACTGAGGTAATTAAATGTATTTTCCAATTACATTTTACCATCTGTTTACCTAATTAATAAGGGAGTAACTCAGGTTGTAACAGCCTAGTAGGAAAATTCTGAAATTAAAGAAGAATTATTCTTATAAAGTAAACACGCCTCGTTTATTGAACTCCGGCTCAGGAAGAACCATATATACATAGCTTCGAGAAACTTCACAATCTATATCTTCTTTGTCTGGCTAGATAAAAATATTATTTTATCTCTTCAAAAATTTAACAACTAGATATTTGCTGGTAATTTCTATTGTCTGTCCAACATAGCGCTTGACTGACTTATTGCCAATGTAGGTTATAAGCACCCATGATCCAGATTTATATATTTCATCAATTTCTACATTTCCTTCCTTTTGCTCTTGCTCTTTCATTTCCTCTTCTCCTAAAATGTCTTGAATGTCATAGTCTGACTCGCTATCGTGCAATGAATAATCAGATCGAGAATCAGATAAACTGTCTTCGTCACTTGAAAGATCACGTGTTTTTTTTTTCTGTGTGCATAATTTACTTTCATCTTTTATGCTTTTATGTTCAATTTTTTGAGAATATTGCTTACGGTTTTAGCTTTGACAGCAAAATGTACTTTTATTTTTTGTAAGGTCGATTGTTCAATTTTGTATTTTTCATCTTCCCAGTTGGGTTCAGTCATTGTTAAATTATAGTTTTCCATTTTCAAATTTGTCGGATCTTCACTTGATTCTAACACACATTCATCGTTCACGACATACCAGTTTGCAAGACAGATTATATTTTTGTTAGCAACATCGCAGCTTTCTTGATCAGCACTCTTATCTTTAATTAAAATGGTCTAATGATGCTCTTGGCACCCTTATTGAGGGATATTCCTCAGTTGCAGAGAGCGTTATTGAAACTTTCCCATATTTGAATCTGTATCAAATCAACAATGTACCAAATTACAGGTTTTTTTGGACCTAATTTTCTGTGATAACTTGAATTATAAGACTGTCTGCGCTAGTGATACTTTGGTAAACTGTGATAGGCATCATCCAGCCCTAGTTATTATGTTGACTGTGATAATATACCAAATCTTGTTGAGTATGATGATGAAATTTTTGATTTTAAGCATTCTAATTTTTGTGATATTAGTTGTTTGTTACTTGATGTTAATTTGGATCATGTCTTTGAAAGCGGTGATGTAGAGGATAATGTTTTATTGTTTTATGAGATTTTTAATAATGTTCTAACTCAGTTTGTTCCTAGAATAAGGATTAAAAGTAAATATAAATTTCCACCATGGTTCAGCACCGAGCTGAAAACCAATGTTTTTAACAAAAAATTGGCTCACAAAAAATATAAACAGACTGGAGATGTTAATGATTATTATGCTTTTTGCAGTCTCAGGGATTTGTGTAAAAGGCAGGCAAAGTCGTGTTATAACAGTTACATGAGTAAAACTGAGAATAAAATAACCACAGACCCACAATCATTCTGGAAGCATATACGTATGTATCGAACAGATAATGGCATTCCTATCTGTCTTAATTATAACGGTCAAGTAAGTGAGAGTGTGGAAGGCAATGTAGGTCTGTTTTCTCATTTTTTCTCATCGGTTTATGGAAAACCAAAAATAAATAAAAACGGAGAGCTTGTAAATATTACTTCATGCTCAAGCAATGTTAATATAAATAGCCTCATTATTAAGATAAGTGATATATTGGACCATTTGTCAAATATAGATATAAAAAAGTGCCCTGGCCCTGATGGTATTGCCCCCATATTTATAAAAAACTTTGCTTTTGCATTATCGAGGCCTCTTTGGCTGATATACAATAAATCTCTGTCATTGGGTATATTTCCCAATGTATGGAAAATGTCATTTGTTTGTCCAATTTATAAAAACAATGGTTCAAGAAATGAGGTCACTAACTATCGGCCAATAACTATAATGTCACATTTCCCCAAAATTTTTGAATGTATTGTCAATGAATTTCTTTCTGTGTGTTTCCAAAATATTATCTCTGTCAAACAGCATGGCTTTTCAAAGGGCAGATCAATCACAACAAATTTACTATTATACGAACAAGTAATTTCTAAAGCGCTTGAGAATGGATTTGCAGTTGACTCCATTTATACAGATTTTGAAAAGGCTTTTGACAGGGTTGATTTTGGTATTTTGTTGCAGAAGCTTTCTGGTTATGGTGTGAATGGTATATTGTTGAAATGGCTTGAATCATATTTGATAGGTCGTAAGCAAAGGGTAAAAATTGGAACTTCTTTATCTGATGATTATAGTGTAACATCAGGAGTTCCACAAGGGGGGTCATCTTGCTCCATTACTTTTTAATATTTTCATAAATGATATTATTGACTGTTTCCATCATAGTAATGTTTTATTGTATGCAGATGATTTAAAGTTATTTAAGGTGATTGACTCACCAGATGCATCAGTATTCCTGCAGGAAGACCTTCAACGTTTTGAGAAATGGTGCGAGAATAATAATATACACCTCAACATAGGTAAATGTAAATGTATACAGTTTAGTAGAAAATCAAGTCCAAAACTTAATTCGTATTATGTACAAAATATTCTGCTTGATGGTGTAACTACAATTAAGGATCTGGGAGTTGTGTTTGACCACAAACTAACTTTTGTGGATCATATTGATTATATTTGTAATAAAGCTCTGAAAATGTTAGGCTTTGTAAAAAGACATACCAAAGATTTCAAAAATGTATTTGCTCTCAAAACTTTGTATGTGTGTTTAGTTAGATCTCAACTGGAGAATAATACTTGTGTATGGTCACCATACTATCAGTTTCACAGAGATAGACTAGAAAGAGTGCAGCGCAAATTTTTGTGTCACATTAGATTTAGATTGGGACTTGATGTTAAAACATGTACTTATGATCATCTACTGAACATGCTGAGTATGAAGTCCTTGAATGAAAGGAGAATTAATTTTGATAAGGTATTTATTTATAAAATACTTAATAACAATATAGATTGTAGTGACCTCCTGCAACTTGTTCAAATTCATGCTCCTCCTAGATCACTTAGAGTTGTGAATACATTTAGTATTGAAAACCATCGCACCAATTATGGTCAATTCTCATCCATAAATAGAATGATGTCTCATGCAAATGAATTGAGAATTGACTTGTTTAACACCTCCTTGTACTCCCTTAGGGCGGCGCTTAATAATCAATAGATTAAGCTTAGGCACCTAACCTATATATTTTAGTGATTTGATGTTCCATTGTTATTTTTATGATTGGTGTTAATGTAGTTTTATTTTATAATCTGTTTGTCTTTTATATATTGTGTATTTGAGTTTTTTTTCAACATTTCAAGTATTCTTAGACTTATTTTTTGTAAAATTGGGAATTTCTCGTTGATGAATAAATAAATAAAAATAAATAATTAAAAATCCAATAAATTGACCAACGTAAAATTTGGGTAAATGTTTAATTAGGGAAAAAATACACCAGTCTCATCATACCTACACCGAATATGCGTCTAAACGTTGCATTTCAATATGATTTTGGCCCAGGTTTTAGTTTTTATTGGAAATAAAGATGGAGGATGGAGGGGTTATGTATTTATATCTAATTGACAGTAATTGATTGTAATTAGATGTATTTGAAAGTATTTCAACGTAATTGAAAGTATTTGAAAGTATTTCAACGTAATTGAATGTATTTGAAAGTATTTGAATGTAATTAAATGTATTTGACAGTATTTGAATGTAATTGAACGTATTTGTAAATATTTGAATCTAATTAAATGTATTTGAGAGTATTTGAATGTAATTGAACGTATTTGAAAGTATTTGAATGTAATTAAATGTATTTGAAGGTATTTGAATGTAATTGAAATGTAATTGAATATAATTGAATGTAATTAATTAAACGTATTTGAAGGTAATTGAATGTAATTGGGTGTAATTGAAAGTAATTGAATGTAATTAAATGTAATTGTATGTAATTGAGTGTAATTAAATGTAATTGAAGGTAATTGCAAGGTAATTGAGGTAATTGAATGTATTTTTCCAATTACATTTCAACATTTGTACACCTAATTGGGGAGTGACCTACCCCTCGCTATCGTCCAACAAGCATTGGTTCCATAGCTAAAGCCGCCTCATAGAACGTCGTCAAATGTTGCTCAGCGCGGGCACAGTCACCATTAACTATAGTG